AGATAGTACTTAGATTTAGAAACTCTATATTGACTGAGACTTTCTTTACTTATTAGATGCTGTGTCACAAAAATCATGAAGGTGAGACAAATAAATAGGAAAAGATGTGGGTTCAGATGAAACTTTATACTTTCCAATTATTGGTGTGAAAATTCCCCAGTGAGTTGATGAGCCACCTGTGGCTTCATCATGGTAGAAGTGGGGTTCCTTAGGTCTCTCTCCCACTAGGGCATTCTATAAACCATTGCTCCCCACAATGTCTGCACTGGCCTAGAGCCTCTTGACCTCTCTTTCATTTAGTCATGTGTATACACTGCAGCTGCCTGACTCACAAGGTCCTATTGTCTTCAATGCACACATTCTGCTGGCCAGAGATGGCCTAACAGATGACTACTTTACACCTTTCGGAATGGGAGACTCCTTCATGGTGAAGTTCTGTTTAAACGAAGAACACTACCATGTTGTATTGCTCTTAATGCTATGGATCTAGCAGAATCTGGTAGAGCCTTTGAATTCTTTCTTTTGTGTTTTAAAAATAATTTCTTTAAAAGGATGCTTAGTTCTCATTTTAAAATGGAACAGTATTGGGGGGCAGGAAAGATGACTCAGTGATTAAGAGCTCATAGTAGCCAAATCTGATTGTCTATTTACTAAGCTCTGGATTCTACGTAGAAACATGCTCGCTCTCTCTCTCTCTCTCTCTCTCTCTCTCTCTCTCTCTCTCTCTCTCTCTCTCTCTCTCTCTCCTCTCATATCTAAAGTATGAACTTCACTAATGGGGAGCTTTTGAGTATGAAACCATGCTTGCCAAATTACACCATGGAGGCAACCTGCAGAGAACCTCCTTTTACCTTGTGCTGGAAGGAAACCTGCTAGGTTTTTAACAGTGCTCACAATTGTTCTAGGTTGTGCTAGTAAATCTTTAAAGCAGGTATCATAGTAAATAAGAAAGAGAAACTATAAGTAATTACTAAGGAAAGATGCATATATACTATTTCTGTTCCTGTAGAGTCAGGAGCATACAGTAAACGGCACTGTGTCAGAAGATTCCAGTGATACCATTTGTTTGTAATGTGTAGTTAACTTAAAACATTAAAGATTTAAATGGTTATGTAAATATCATAACCGCTCTTCTTTACTTATTTTGTTCAAGATATTATCTCAAGGCTGAGACAATTAGGAAAGCTTTCTTCAACCCTCTATTATTCTCTCAGTGTAACAGAGGAACTAATAAGATCTTATTTTCTAGTTTTGCCGACTATATTTTACTACAGATTTCCAGGACAAATGATGACAATGTATTTATTTTCAAAGGAGACTTACTAACATTTCTTTAATTCCACAGAGCCAATGAGATTGTCACATGAGCCTGGTGACCTCGGTTCAATCCCTAGATGTAGGAAAAAAAACTCCAAAAAGTTGTATCCTGACCTCCACACATATTCACATATCACACACACACACACACACACACACACACACACACACACACACACCAGTAAAATTTTAAAGCTATAAATTAAATCCTATTTTTTACTCATTATAGTCTGAAAATATCACATTTAATCAGTTTTTTTTTAATTTTTGTCACAGAAAATGGGTTCTACTGCACAGCATTTAACTGTCTTTATACATATATCATCAATGAAGCTACCACCTGGCTTTTATAATATATGTATATAAAGAACTGAGAGGCTAAGAACAAAAATAGTACTTAATATTCCATTTTATTAAACTGATTCTGCTGCAAATTGTTTAGGCTATTCAATGTAAAACTTAAATAGCTATAAGAAAACACAATCTGTGGTTTTAATATCTAATTTCTCAAAGTAGAAATGGATTAAAGAAATAACACTTTTAAGTAATGAATGTGTATTTTTTATTTTAATCAGAAAAATGAGAATTCAACCTAACTAGTAATTAATAAATTATGATAATTCCCATCTTTCTACTGAATTATTAAGAAGGAAAAAGAATATTTATTTTTAATAAAGCTGCAAACAACAAAATTATCAAATGAAGTGCAACTTTAGTTGAAGATTGATAGACCAATATCAAGATTTCTGGTAAATTCAGAAAATTGAAAATTAAAGTACTTTATGCACACAATATAATTTAGCTTTTCTTGTTTTCCCTGAGTTATTATATAGGTGCCAATATGGTAAATCTGCAGCACCCTCACACAAACTCATAAAACAGTACTACATGGCCACAGGGTTTGTCCAGGTTAAGGCCAAGAATATAAGAAACAACTTTTAAAGCCACTCATTCAGGAAATAAATATGTAGAAGTGAGCTGTTAAGTTGCATGAACCAATGTCCAAGAGCTAAACACACTTGAACTGGGACACTCAATCTCCCATATTGTCAATAAGGAACCCAAACTTCCCCTTTCAAGTACATAAGCTCAAAATTTGCCAATACAATATCAAGTCTAGTAAATGAACATTAACTTCAGTTCAGAACAAAAGAAAGGGAGGAAGAGAGGGAGGGAGGGAGGAAGGAAGGAAAGGAGGAAGGGAGGAAGGAAGGAAGGAAGGAAGGAAGGAAGGATGAAGGAAGGAAAGAAGGAAATCCCAGGAAGGTATTTTGTTGCTTACATTCTTTGTCTTTAGCTTTTCCCTCACCTAGTACTTCCAAAGCTCATTTTTGTAATGTTGTGGCAGCTAGAATGCATAATAAAATTTCTGCCTGAAGGAAAGTGTGTTAGCTTATTAGCACTACATAATGCGTGTAATGTCTTACTCTTCTCTTACAATGTGCATCTTGGTTGATTCCATATGCACTGGGCATTTGTCCAGGAAGACTATTAATTTATGAAGGGCAGAAGCTATTATTCTACCATATCTTTCATTATTCCAAGTAGTACTTTAGATCCTGAATCTGTGGACATGTGCTACTAAATTTATACAGTATAGCAGATATAAAACATCAGTTATAAATGTACTTTGAATTGAAAAAAAACCACAGCTCCCAAAATTTCAAACTAATTACTTAATATATTATTGAATAATACTTCAAAAATCAAAACCAATAATTGGTGTGAAACACATAATTCATTCTTTTGCATTTCGTACATGTGTATATATATAGTATATATGTGATATATAGTCAAATATATGATCCATATATGTGAAAATCAAAATACCATATATACATGTATGTATGTATATATGACATCAGCCAAGAAGCTCTGAAATCTAAATTATGAAAGAAGAAAATGAAATGATCACTATTAATCTGTGACCTTTCAACAACAAACATTTTAGTTTGTAGCTTTAAATTTCAGTTCACAAATTATTATTAACTATTATTAACTATTATTAAAGGAAGTCATTTTCTTCTAAAGTATGAAAGATGCTTCACAGCTGTTTCTGAGAATCCCTTAGCAAAGCTGCTGCACCCGAGCATAATTGTCAGGGCCAAAGTTGAACAAGTTTTTCTTGGGAGCAAAACTAAAAAGGGAAAGCACAAAAGCAATAAAGAATGAAGTCACGAGGAAGTCGAGGAATGTTTGTTTAGGACAACACTCATTTCCATCATCTGCCTGATTTAAACGTTTATTACAAAAGCTGCCTAATTGCTGTGAATATTTTTCCCACTAACAAAAGACACTTCGTGGATAAAAGCGCTTTCATCAATTTTAATTTTAAAAAAAAATCCGTGTATTCCTATTCTTTACCCAAATTAGGGCTTTGCAGAAGATTGCTAAAGTCCACGGGAACCACATGAAGATCCTACCAGAGTACAAAGAGTAGATGTTGCTCTGATCTGAGCCGTGGAAGTCATCTTCGCTTCAATTAATTGACTTTGCCTTTATGCATTTAAGAATCCTTCAAGGGGGCTGACATTTCACTCATATGAAAAAGCTTGGAATGTGACAGGGGAAAGGGAGGAGAAGTAAATCAAAGAAGTGAACAGTTTTCCAGATGCAATGTATTTTTCTTCCTCCTCCTCTTCTTTTTTTAACTAGAAATTTTGGAGAGCCTCCTGACATCTTAATTCTCCACACAAAGCACAGTAGCAAAAACGCTTAAGGCATACAGCATCAAGAAACACACTGCCATGCTTCTGAGCATGCACATACCCACAAAACACACATTAATTCCAATCTGTTGCTGTGTTGATTGAAAAGTAACCCGGAATTTGCTGGATATCTACATATGCAACTCAATCAACTTTTTTTTTAAAGAATAAAATCTACATCACGTTTGCTAATGTTTCTTGGTTTGAATCACTAAGTCTCAGTCTTTATGCTGGCCTCTTCACCTAAAAGTTGCATTTATAGAAGCTGCCCCGTTGACTAGACTTTAAATCACACCAGAATATTTCAGTTGTCACCTTTAGCCACATGGTTGCAAGAAACTGCCCAGATATTTCATGCAAATTCGAATCCATTCAGAAAGTTTCTCCCCACCCCACTTAGCAGAAATTCACCAAAACATTGAAAGGTTAAAAAAGAAAAAAAAAAAGTCTTGAGACTTGAAGATAAATCTGTGCAACAGAGTTTATGACCATTGTGTCTTGGAGCCAACGCAGGGGAAATGGTGTTAGTGCTCAAAGCCCCCTGGTTCAATATCGCCTTTTTCCCCAGGGTGTTTCCTCGTTTATCAGGTATCATGTTACAAGGGATTTCTTGTTATCCACAACTAGCATAAATCAATCTATCACAGAAGGATTTGTTTAATACATTTATTCCTTTAAGAAGTTGCATGACCATATTTCATTGACTTGTACAATAGGAAAAAAAAAAAGAAACTTACTACTAAAACATAGTTTGTGGAGGCTGGTGCATGGTAAACCAATTTAGTCCTTTCAGGGGTCCATTCTTAGATTTTTAATGTTAAATAATAACAACTATTCATATAAGCTGGTCTCACTGTATATCTTGACCTTTAGCCCTTCCACACACAGCAGCTTATTGTGGTATCCTTTAAATATGAGAAATAAGAACGTTTTACTTTGCTATGAAAAGGAAAAAAAATAAAAGAGTACTGTATGTTACATGGCCCATGAAATATTAGCGGTGTGCTCCTTGGCTTTCATTCTCAGGACGGCGATACTGGAAGACCTCCTTTCAAACTCTGGCTTCGTTTCAAACGCGTGTCCATTGGTAGCCCCAGTGAGAAGAGAGTCAGTGAAAAAGTTGTTGAGGGGCACATGGCTGAACTGATTCTGGTGGTTTGAAAAGCCTGTGTAACTGGAATCTGTCCGAGGCGAGTGAGAATAAGGTGTCATGCAGGAGGACGCATCACGTGGTAACATGCATGACGTAACCACAGAGCCACCACTTGCATTCCCTGCCCACAAATTGTTCTGAATCTGGAACATATAAAACAACAAATATTACATTCACACATTCTCCCTTTCGCCCTCTCACTTTCCTTAGCTATTCATTATTTGACCCGATTTGGAGGTTTGTTAGTTTCCTTCTAAGTATACAAAACAATGACTGGAAAACAAATCCTTGAAAAATCATTGCACTGTGTTTACTATAATAGATCATCAAAGATCATGTACTTAACCACAGAAAACACCCCCAGAAAACAAACATTTCTTAGATATTGTTGTTACAGTCATGATATGGGATATTGAATTATGAATCTTGACTTCTCTTCATGTGTTTAGGGAAAGGAACTTGAAAAATGGCCTTAAATTTAAAGGCAATATTCATCTTTGTATACACAGTGATACAGCTGTGTTTTTTTCCAGTTCTGAAGCTGAAATGGTAGTTTCCATAGAAAATTATTGCTGGCTTTCACGTAGTTTTGTCTGAAATGATATTTTTTTAAACTGCATTCATTCAGAAAGTATTTTCCCTGTCATTGCTTCTTGTGTCCTACCTATATCTTCCCTGCAATAAACTGCTCAGAGAGTCTGAAATATGCACATTTGGAACATTTATTCTATTATTTATGTATGGTATGGGGAATTCATAGCAGATTTGTGACATGTAAAACAAACATAATTCTAAAACATTAACCATTACCAAATAATGGGAGTACAGGTGAAAAATTACAAATGGTAGGATGTCGTGTGAGTAAAATTAAAGTACTACAAGCATAACATATGAGAGAAAAAAGGGTACAATTTGTGCCTACCTAACACATTTAACATTCATATTACTATGTCTCTAAAGAAGATAAGTAAAATAAAACCATCAAGCACAAATTGTCAAAGTTAGGAGCATATAGAAGGAATACTAAGAAGATTTTTTAAGATGAGGATTTTAAATAAAATGTATCTCAATATAGGCAAGGTAATTAAACAACAAAAACTAACAGACCACAGAAATTAAAGAGAGACACATAGAAAATTATTACAATAACAAGAGATGCAGCCTCAAGAGATGAAATGAAACAAATTTATGTGTGTTTTATGTTTTGGGTGTTTTTTGGTTTTTGTTTTTGTTTTTTGTTTGTTTGTTTTGCTATGTTCTTCAGCTTTGCTTTCTTAAACAGAGACTGGCTATGTAGTCTAGATATGCCTAGAATTTGCCATGTAGCCCAGGCAAGGCTCAAGGTCCCTGTTCTACTGTGTTAGCCACCTGAGTACTGGGATCACTCCAGGCATGTAGCTTCTAACAATTGTTTATAACACATTTAAACTAAACAGGGCACCAGTGTGCTATTTAAGTCATGATGAAAAATGGAATCACCAATGATTTTGACACATATGGATGTCTTGTAATTTGCATATCCCAGGCTTCTACATGTAGCCTCTGATGTATACTTACAAAACCCAAGTTGAATAACGCTATATGACAACCTGTGTTCTATTAATAATAGAAAAATGTATTCATAAATCTAGCTCACACTGATAGGGAAGTTACTTTGTGACTCAAAACAGGGTGGTGCATTTGTCTCCAAAACCTGAAAGAAAATGTGTAAAAATGACCTTAACACTGTTGTGAGGTATCTCACAAAAATAGTTACTGAAGAAGAAACTACTTATTTCTGTATTGTTCTGAAACTCATTCCTGATATAAATATATTTAAGAATTTGTTTTAAACTTGTGTAAATCTTTATATAACTATAAATATGGATTCAGAGTTGACCAATGTACCTACATATAGATGTATGTAATCATGTGCATATTTGATTACTCCTTAAATCACCATGGCCTCTGTTGTTTTCCTGTTGGCTTACTCCTCTCCACACATTTCACATCAGCTGGGCTATGTATCTCAAACCAACAAGAGGGCTGTTAATGTCATTACTCACCAAATTAGCTCTTCTAATGTACTCTGGGTGCTTTTTATAACACTCAATCATTGTAAAACATTGCAAAGCCCATAGTCATGTGACTGAAAAGGCTTTCAGGAAGAGAGGTAAACTTATTTGCTTATTTGAAAATGGATAGTGATAGGGAACATTTACTTGCCTCTCCATATTAAAGTGTTTCTTAATTTACAATGTCACTAAAATTTATTATTATATTCCACACGCATAGAAAAATGTTTCCAACCAGTTACATAGTGAAAGGAAGGGGTAAAAGTAAAGAAACAATCTATAAAATTAAATAAAGAAAATATTTATTCTAAAAAGAATTAACATCAATCTACTTGAAAATCTAAAAAAAAATCTGGAATCTATTCTAGTGAAAAAATTAAAGGGTAAATGCTTTTATTTTAGCATAAACTTATCTGGGTCTTATCGAGCATATCAATGTACTATTTGTGATAGAAAAAAGGGTTCTAATATGCAAGGTATATTTTCTGAGCAGACCAAATTGATAGAGTAAATTATTCATAGCAATATTTAGCTTGGATGTACAAGTATTGTGAAGAATTTGAAATTTCCTCCCCTGCATAGAGAATTCTCAGAAACTTTTCCTAACACATTCTTCATGCTGTCACTCTATCTCTCCTAACTCTCACCCCAAATATGTCTTTTATTTTTAAAAAAGAACTTCAGGGGTCCAATAGTTCTCAACAGCAAAACATCAGGTGCAAATTTAAAGATAATATACCACAATAAAATGTGATTTTACTTTCTCTAAAATATTGCCTCTGGATGCTTATATATTTGACGAGGATGACTTAGATCTAGTACTTGACAGCTAGTGAACATTAGTTAATTATCATGAGTGGCACAAACTACAAATAGTTTTATCTTAACACAAATACATGAATACATGGGTGTTTTATTATCTGTTCTTTGTAGATGGTAAGTTAGAGAGAGAGAGAGAGAGAGAGAGAGAGAGAGAGAGAGAGAGAGAGAGAGAGAGAGAGAAGAGAGAGAGCTGGAATTTTAACCCAGACTGCATAACCAATAAGGTTAAATCTGACCCAAAGAATTCTAAAAACACTAAAATAAGGTATTTTTATAAGTTATAATTGGCTATTTTTGTGCATACTTCCAATTTCACAATTCAAAAGCTCTACCGTGTGATAGCAAATCCAATGATTATTGATCATAATTATTTTACTTATCTTGGCCTACAAAAATAAATAATAATCTTTCCTATAATGTTTCAAATAACTGAAAAGTTCCTAAGAATGTGAAATTTAAACAGATCAATTTCTTCAGGACTGATAAAAGTTTAGGAACTACTTATATTAATACAATTAATGTAGGTTTGTGGCTGGAAATCTAAATAATCACCACAACTATAATCATAACAAAACCATATTCAGATTCTTCTACCTTGCTATCTTCTTGCTATCTGTATTTATGAATACGGTTTTTGTCACGAGAGCATATTTTCCATCACAGATGCATTTAAAGGGTACTTGCTCATTAAGCATGCTGTATCAGATCATAGAATCTATGTCAGAATGACAGTAGTGATAAAATATACACTGCTGTTTTTAAAATCAATTGAAATTTAGAGGCACTAGTGCGGTCCAACTTCCAAATGCAATTAGACCCTCAACAGCTTTAGCTTTTTCATTTCCTGTGGCCACAATTTCTACTACTTTGTAAAATGTCCATTCTTCCATTTATAAAATAATGCCAACTAAACATTATTTCTCTTACTATAACAAAATCCCCATGTCTTTTTTTTTAGGTTTTCATCTCTAGTCCTTTCAACCACTTCTCAAACGATATGACTAGACTGTCCCATTAACCACATTCCTATAGATACGCTTGAGTTGCCAATCACCTTCATTTTCAACTGTCGTGGGGTATCTGCAATGGGTTGAGTATATAACAGGTGTGATCTAACTACAGTACAGGAGACTTGCAGTGGTCATCATTGCTGGAAATAACCTGTTTTTAATAGGTTAATGCTTGAAGGAAATATATGATAAAATAGCTAATTTTAATGCAGTCCAGACAACCAAAACATACATATGCTGATTCTATTAAGGTCTGTAACTAGAATCTACAAATTGCATAATATAAAATTGTGCACTGCTTCTTTGTGAATGTCAAGCCTAAGAAAAATCGCATCCTCCCACCAAAATAAAAAATGCTCTAATAATTTTGACTTTTAAATGGAGCAAGTTTCCTTTTGGACCGTTTCACAGAAATGACAATGACAATACCCTGTACCAAATTGTGGTCTAAACTACATAATAGCTACATGCTGCACAAACACAAAATTCTCTTATGTGTGTGTTTTCTATACAATACAGGGAAAGGATGCCTGTCATTTTATTTAGTTCATTCTATTTAAAATAACATTGACCCTGAAAGCATTCCATGTTTTAATGTGTTTTGTGACATTTTTTAGAGGTTCTAGGGATGTGTTCAAAGCACTGTCCAGGAACTTAACCATGACTCTCATTAGCAAGACTAGAAGCTCCACTTTAAAATAGTACTTCAAAATAGGAAATTTAACACTTGCTTATTTCATGTATTTGGAATTATGGAGAAAGTTGCTTTGTTTGATTCTTTGGAAGACAAACTAAGTCACATATCCTGAAAACTCATACTATGAAATTATATAATTCCTTTATCTCCAAAACACCATGTAGATGCATTCCTTGCAACCAAGGTGAGAAGCACATTTTAGTATTCTAAAAAATGGTGCATGTCTACAATGTAGATTTCCTTGTAACTTTTAATAGTTCTTTTTTAATAGATTTGAAACAGAAACACTGCCTTTGCCTTTATCTTAACAAAGATGCTTGCTATAAAGCAGGTTCATGATGGCATTTTAGCTTCTCAATGCACTATTTAGAAATGATAGGCTTCTGTATTAGCAACATGAACATGTATACACTTCTTTTCTTTTTGAAGTAGTTTTAAAACAATTGATAATATTTTTTTCCTAAAATGAGTTGGTTTACCCTGCCTTACATCATCAAAGATACCATTCTCTAATACCTTTCCACCAACATTTGTAATATTCATACACACACACACACACA